TCAATAAGCCAGTAAACTCACTCATGTATTGGTTTCTTTAAAAAAATGAAATTATATTTCGTTTGAGGCAGATGGGATATTTTCAACTGAACTTTGTCACATAATTCCAGCTAATTCCTGTTTCCAGATGTCTGGTTAGCCTTTATTGTTTCTTTGATCTGGTTGGGCTCTCGAAGATTCATCCTTGGGGTTCTGTCTTGCAGTGTATTAACAGCTATTGATTCCTCACAATCTTGGCTGTTATGTCCAAGTTTCAAAATCTATAACAGTTCCCTCTTTCTAGTATCCTTGGGAGGAGTTCTTATTCCTTTCAGGCTTTTGTTTGCAATTCCTGGGAATATATCCTATTCAGTTACATTTAAAACACTTTTATCTTGTGCTTTATTCCCTCTATTCTGTGTAACTAGTTATGCAACAAATGCTTTTAGTTCCTCTAGACTTTCACCAGGGGTGGTTAATGTTTCAACAATACTCGATCTGACAATCTCATAACTTCGACATAGTGTCTCTAATTGTTTATCTGCCACTTTAATGGATTCTAGTTCCATTGCCAACTGCAGAACTTCATTTAAAGATGTACACCTACTCTGCTTCAACTTGATTCTCATATCCACGTCAGTTATAGCATCTATAAGTTGGTCATATACCAACGAATCCAGAGAGACAATACGTTTCTTATCACCCAAGGGGAACCCCTAAAACCTGCCAGGTAGTAATAGAAAATGGAATTCACCATTTCATGAGAAGGGTATGGGAAAGATAATTGGGCAAGCCATTCCAAATCTGCACGTTTGGATAAAGTATCTTCCTCCTTCCATGCCTTGTTCTGAAATTTTACTCTATGCTTCCTTCTGGAGTGTCACTACAAACCAATCGGATAAAGCAGTTTTTTTCGTAATAGAATCAAAATGATTATTTTTAAAGATATTAATAAAGACTAAGTTAAATTTCAGAGAATATTATCTTTGTGGAAAGTTGATACTGATCAGGTCATCATTCTTGTGAGTTGTTTATGCCAATAAAACTTGTAGGATTTAAAACGTGAGGTTCAAAGAATAGACAAAGTAAAAGAGTTTTCTTAAAAACAGAATCGTTCTGATAATTCAGGTTTTTAACCAACGTTATGTTAGTTTAGCTAACAAATAAAGCTAAATTAATGATTTTTTCAATTTCTTACATAAAGAAAGAAATGAAAGAGAAATGTCAGTCTTAATTAAACGGAATAATAACTAAGTTTCTTTATAATAATAAATGCGTTAGAAAATTAAATGCGTAACTGTACCAACATGAGAGTAAGAACATAAAAAAGCTGACACAACGGTTAAATAACCATTTTAGCCAAAATAACTACTTTTATTTGAGCAACATTTTCCGCTTTCGGGTGACATCTTAGCAGTAATAATGACGATCCCATGAGAATTATGTGTTTCGGCAACAATAAAGTCATTTCAAACAGTTAATTAAACAATAACGAACTTTTAATTAAAGTTACAACTAAAAAATTTAATACCTGAATAAGTTTTAAAACAACATATTTATTGTAATTTACTTTAAGGCAAGTGTTTTTTTTGTTCCTTACAAATAGGCCCCAGTGGTACAGTGGTATGTCTGCGGACTTACAACGCTAGAAACCGGTGTTATGTCTTCGTTCGTTAGTTAATTTTCCGTAAAAATTCTTCCCGAAGAAACTTTACCGATACAAGTCCTTTCTTAAATAAAACTGGTTTATTCTTTCTGAATACAACTTTGCGATACACTTAATTTCAACAGTCGCTCTATAACAAACGCTATAATTCACAACGAACTTCTCACGTGCTCAACAATATTCTTACTTATTACCTTACGTTGCTTCTTGGCCGGTCTTATATGTACGGCCCGGCATGGCCAGATGGTTAGGGTGCTCGACTCGCAATCTGTGGGTCA